TGCTTCTGGTCTTTCCCCTTTTTTTTTTTCTTTTCTTTTCTTTTCTTTTCTTTTTTTAGCTTTCTTACACTGGTAATTAAGCTTCTGTACATTAAAATCTCTCTTCATCACCTGTTTGGAGATTGGAGAGTAAATCTCGAGTATAAATTAGCATTTTGATATACGGTTATGAGAGATTTTCCTTTTTAAATGTTTGGAGTGACAAATTTGAATAAGAAACTTCTTATGACATCTTCATTATTCTTAGAGATTTTCTTTTTTAAATGAATGGAGTGATAAATTTGAAAAAGAAACTTCTTATGACATCTTCATTATTCTTAATCACTAGATCAATGTCTCATTCGTGATTTGAAGAGGATTTTTTGAGGATGGGATACCTGCAGATAATAGGAATTTGAAGCGGCTGTTGTTAGCAATTATTGGAAAAGATAAAGGATATAGCAATTTAGGGATTCAGGAATTGTATTCCAGATATTGTTCTATGAAGATAATGTATGCGTTAGATGCTCAACTTGCATAAGAAAGCTCAAATTTCAAACAAAACAGGGCAAAAGCATAAAGCTAAACAAACAAAGAATGTGTAGTGTTTGATGACTACAAAAGTCTCTTTATATTTCCCTCAAAATCACAAGAGATTACATTTCCAAGCACAATAATAATTTGAAGTATCAATCAACTCTCAAACTAATTAAAATCATTAAACATTGTTTAAAATATTGTAAAGTTAAAATGAAAAAGTTTGAGGGCTATATATATGTCAAATTGAGTTAATTATAAAATGTAATGGTTTTGAAATATGAATATAACATAGTTGCGCCCCATAAAAAAATAACATAATTGGGCTTATATATGTCAAATTGTATAATTCATGGGCTTAGTTAGGGAAAAACAAAAAGTTAGAAAGCTAAAGCATAGAGGTAGGGTTTTTCCAAAATTAATAAAAAAAAAAACTTGACTAGCTTGTGGACAATGTACTGGTAGTTATGAATAAAAAAGAAAAGAAGAGAAAAGAAAAATGATATATTGGTTGTTAGAGGTCATTGTTCATCAATCTAAGCAAGACAGATGCATTTACCATTTATTTGCTCAAAAAGTTGGAGAGAGTTATTCACAAAATTGATGAGTATTATAGAAAAGTCTTGGTAATTTTTAGTTATGTGGTCCAACATATTAGTCATGTGTTCTAGGGTTAAAATCAGCTCTATTTTTTTTAGATAAATTGTTTATACTCCTAGGTGTAGGCATAGGCTTCAATTTTTTAATATCTACTAATTATTTACCAAAAGAAACCTTGCTAAAATTTTAAGTATTTGAGCTAAAATTTATGTTTATTAAAAAAAAAGAAAAAAAAAAAGAGAAAGAAAACTTGTCTGTGCATATCTTGTACTCCTACAATCTTAAAATAGTAGATGTATTTTTATTTTATTTTAAATTCAAAATTTAGGGAAATTTTATAATTTTACCTATATTTTTCTTAAAAAATAAAAATAAAGAGACACCTTTTTTTATACTAGGATGGGTATGTAATTAAAGTCAATAAATAATGATAAAATTAAAGTGAAAAAGAAATTTTATCTTTTTTTAAATATGAAAAAATTACTATTAATTTTTTTTTGAACTTGGGGGGGAGGTGGGAAATTTGGGGAAATGGGGACTATTATTGCAACTTGAATTCTGACTGAAATCAAGAGTTAGACATACCCAAACCAAAGCAACCAAAAACTACGGCTGCAGGGAAAAATTACTATTAATTTAGAATAAATTATAAACAAAAAAATATTTATTACTTTGAAATAAATAAAGTATAATATAGCACAGCTACGCTGAATAAAATATAAACCCAACACGTAACATGAAATAACCCTTCACCTACTCTCACAAGCCATTTCATTTACACCATGTAGCTACTATAGAACTTATCAACACGATAATGTTGAAAAGCTTCACAAAGTGTCAAATATCGGAACACATGAATCATAGGTGAGAGCAATAATGTAGTTTAAAAATAAAAGATTTGATCTGAGGACGATCATCAAAGCATTATATTTATTTCCACACCAGTTTTATAGATATAATTATAAAAACTATAAATTAGATAAAAAGAAAGACCATTGCATATAACCATACAATTAAAGTCAATGTAAATTGGTTCGTCAATGTAAATTGAACCAATGACCTGTTGTCCAAGTAGAAGGAACTCGGTTTCTTTTAAATAAGATTTTAAGTTCAAATCTTGTAAATAAAAAAATAAGTACCAAGAGAATTTCTTCCTTAATAGGTTCGATACGGCTTGATCTTGAATTAGTTGAGACTCAATGTGGTTATCGGATACTGAAAGGTTAATACTAAAAAAGAGTCAATGTAAATTGATAAAAATTCATTAATTAAAGCATATATATATTTATTCGGTATTAATCTCTTAAAATCTAAAAGTCATGTTAGATCTCAATTAATGTAAAATTAAATCATATTAAATTCCTTATTTAAAGCGAATGAAGTTTCTTTCACCCATATCTACGTGTTCGATGGTACGTGTCTATATATGTATATATATATATATATGATACTGCTACTTTGGTGTTACCCTACAAGCCTACAAGTCTGTGTCAATATAGGACTGTTGTTATTTGTTCGTATGATTCTGCTGCTTAGTTATCAACTTACGAAATACGAACCTACAAGTTTGTGTTAGTATAGGAGTGTTGTTATTTGTTTGAGCCCCTTTTTATCCTCTGATCTTATATAGAGACAAGCACTTGCAATGGGGAATCTGATGAGAGTAAAGTAGCTATAATTAGCTTTTGAGATTCTTATTTTATTATTTAAATTATATCAAAATATTAGATGAGAGGCGATACCTAAATATTAAGGGGCTCATTCTTCATTTAACAATTTAAATTTATAATATAATATAATTTGATCTATATAATATATATATTTTTCGTTAATTTGTTTAATGTTACCATAAAAAATGGAAAGCTTAATCAAAACATGCAGCATAAGGCCACTTGATTTCATTAAATTCTAGAGGAACCTGTATAAATTGAATATTTCTTTTATAAATGATTGTAAATGTAGACAAACACATAAAATTAATTACAAGTCTCTGAATTATGAAGTTATTATTTGTAGAAAAATAATTGGTACACTATTTGACTCAATAAACTTAACAACACCCACCGATTAGTTATTAAAATCTATAGTTTTAAGTTTTTTCATTTTTAATTTAAATTTAAAAATAATAATTTATTAATAAATGTATTGAACCGAAAAATACATATATCAGCATCTTACGTGAAAACATTGAATAAGAGGATTGTAGGTATAGAAAAATAAATAAAGACACTAATGCAAACTCTTTTTGATTTCAACACATTCAACAACATAATTACTAAAAAGTTATTATTTTTAAATTTGGATTAAAAAGTAAAAAAATTTAAAATTATAAATTTTAATAACTAAATTGATAGATGTTAACAAGTGTGTTGAACTGAAATTTATACAATTATTTTCCTTTCATGCAAGTTGAGTAAATAACACACAAGTTGGATTTTAATATGAGCAAGATATATACCATTTTTTCATAAGAAAATTTTAGAATCGTCAAAATCCACTTTGCTTATAAAAATAAATATGTATCATTGATTTCTTTTTTACATAGACATGTGAATTGGTAGTTTTATTTGGCTATAAATAGAGTAAATATTGTCATACCAAAATGCACTGGAAAGCCCTTGAGAGGGACTTAATTGTTTGAGTTGGAGATGGAGATAGAGCGAGTCCTCCATATGAACGGAGGGTTGGCAAAACAAAGCTACGCATGCAACTCCTCCCATCCAGTTAGTATTTCCATTCTCATGAATTCCATCCACATGCATATAAACATTATCTATATTCAAACATATAATTCATTTCATGAGTACGCAGTAAGGCTCCAATGTTCGTAACCATCATGCCTGTGAGCCTTGATATTGAATTTCTGACTTTTAATTGGATAGATTTTTTGATAGAACAACTCATGAAATTTGATTGGTTTTCCAGAAGACTGTGATATCTATGGTGAAACCAATACTTGAAGAGAGCGTACTGGAGCTTTATTTCTCCATGTTACCAGACTGCTTAAGGATAGCAGATCTAGGCTGCTCTGTAGGGCCTAATACTCTTCTGGTGGTATCTGAGATCATAGATGTCATCGAAGCGTCATGTCAAAGACTAAATCACTCCCCTCCTTCCATACATGCATTCCTAAATGATCTTCCTGGAAATGATTTCAATACTATTTTTGGGTTTTTACCAAGTTTCTATAAGAACCTGGAGAAAGAGAAGGGAGACAAGTTCAAGCAATGTTTTATAGCAGGAGCACCGGGGTCTTTCTATGGAAGGCTCTTCCCTAACAGTTTTCTTCACCTTTTCCATTCTTCTTATGCCCTCATGTGGATTTCTAAGGTTACTTGGTCTTCCTTCTCAGGATATAACATCATTCACCACAAGCAATAATGTTTCTGATGAATACACTATTTGAATGCAGGTACCAACAGAGTGTGAAACAGGAGAAGCACTAAACAAGGGAAATATATGCATTGCAAAAACAAGTCCTCCACCTGTGACAAAGGCATACTTAGAGCAATTCAAAAGAGATTTCACGGTCTTCTTGAAGTGTCGTGCCGAGGAAATGATCCATGGAGGTCATATGGTCATAACAACCATGGGCAGCATCAAAAGTGATGATCCTCTCACCATGTGGGAATTTGTTGGACTGAAACTCAATGATATGGTCTCTGAGGTAAAGAACTTATTTCATTCTCTTTGGGTGCAATACAAAAATAAATCCATATACAGCTAGCATCATAAAAAAATATACATATGCTTCAACAAATTCAGGGCTTGATTGAAGAGGCAAAATTGGACTCCTTCAATTTGCCATACTATGCTGCTACTGCAGAAGAAGTAAGGGAAGTGATAGAAGCAGAAGGATCTTTCAGTACAAAGAAATTTGAGGCTTTCAATTTGGATTGGGACAGTTACATAAAGAAAGTCGACAGCAGCCTAGGGAAGCAAGAAAGAGCAGCCATAATTGCCACTGACATCAGAGCTGTTGGTGAACCTATTTTGGCAAGTAAGTTTGGAGAATCAATCATGGACGACTTGTTTCAGAGGTTTAAAGATGATGTTCTTGATTACATGGAAGCACATGGATGCCAGTACATCAATCTGGTTATCTCCTTGACAAAGAAGGATTGAATCTTTATTATATAATAATTCAATCAAAATCTACTTAATTTGGATTTCCTTCACCAAATAACTGCCTTAAATATTTCATGCTCTTTAAACCAACAAAGATTTGAAAAAAATTAATGTTAAGCTGCCTTTTTCAGGTTCTTGTATCATCCTATAGTTCTTTTTTCTTTTTGGTTTTTTTTTTATCATGTTCTTCCATTGAACAACTATAAGTATATTCCTTTGAGGAGAAAGTATTAAATGAGACGAATAAATTGCACAATAAAATTCCCTCAATCTGGACAAAATCAGTAATCCGACCCATCTAATGGAGGGGGAAGACGCTCTCTTCAGCATTTTCTTGGGCAGAGAGCCCCGGTTTAGATGGATCTAAGAGATCATTTTTTTTAAAGAATTTAAATTTAAAATTTTTAATTTAAATATCTTTATTATTAGAGAGTAAGGGATGAAATCCTTAGTTTTTTGGCATATGACATCTGAGATATGATCTAATATAAAGAATGAGCAATGGACATGGCCATAGAATCAATGTGAACTTGACCAAAATTAATACAATGATGACTACCGTCCAATTATGTCACAGGATACTGTTACTACCACTCTTGTGAACCTAATACAAAACTACAAATCTGTTTATACATCAGTATTATAGGATTGTTGTTATTTTTTTTTTTCTCCTGTCTATATATCCTTTTCTTTTGTATATATAAAGAAAAATAATTAGTACATATTTTGATTTGATATTTTTTTAATGTTTGTTTAACTTAATTATTAAAATATAATATAAATAAAATTAATTTAATTAATTTTTATATAATATTTATATAATTACATTTTTAAATTTATTTATTTTTAATTTATATTAAAAAATAATAATTTTTTAATAAATATATCATATAATATATTAAATTTAATGGTATACTCATTATCGTTTAGAAAGGAGTCTTAAGACAAGCACAAACAACAGGAATCCTATGGGAGCAAGATAGCTTCTTTTTTTGTATTTTTGAATGTTAAGAGTGAGATTTGGATTCACATCAATAAGTTATAATATGAGAAATTATTTATAAAGATAAAATACTCACTTAACCACAAAAACGTTCTTGATAATAAGATAGCATTTGTTTAATGTTCCCTAAAAGAAAATGATTGGGGAGCTGAATGTAGACATCCAAAATAAGGCCATTTGAGTTTATTAAATTCAAGAGGGGCATGTAACATCGACTCTTTTTATAAATGCTTGCAGAATTTAGACAAAAACATAGATCAAAACTGTCGATCGGTATGGAGCTTAATTGATTCTCCACAGAATCCAGCTGCTTTAAATAAAGAAGGCTGACACAAAGAAAGATGATCGAACAAAACATAAAAAAATTATTTTATCTATTATCAATTAATTTTAAATTAAATATAATTTACATTGAAATTCATATACTTAATTTTTACAAATAACCATAAAAAAATCAAAATTAAATATATCTTAATCAACAAGTATTCTAGTAGTTTTTAATTCTAAAATAGAGCTTCTAGCTACCAGCAGTGGATTTAATTAATTACTGTTAATAACTTTTACCATAAATTTAGAAAATTAACTATAATTATTATATGATTTCGGGATTCAATACTTATAGAAAGTGCTA